ACAAAAAACGGGAAAAAAATATTTCGCAAATTCTGCAGGAGTGAATCAGTATAAGAGCCCAACTAACTTGTATTTCATTCGGAAATGTGGCTGAGAACATGAGAGTCTGACGCTGGCTGGAATCGGGCATTCCATTCTGCTCGACAATCTTGCGAATCTGTGGCTCAAAACCCATATCGAGCATACGATCCGCCTCGTCCAAAACAAGGAATCTAAATTTATTTTAGCATATGAGAATAACAATCATTACCCCGACCCACATTCACTGAACCTAAAGAACGGTGGTGCGTAAACCTGCGCGTGTCTAGACTAGCTCCAATTATGCAAGAAAATACACCACATTATCAAATAAGCAAGCATTTGAGGATATTAACTTCCACAGATAAGATAACCGTCGTAATTGTGCATTTGCAAAATTGATTTGCCTACTTCAGTAACTGTAAGCCAAGATCAAATCAGTCAACATGGCCATTAATATCAGCTCTACATTAACGTAAGCAGTGAGTTTATGATAAATGGTTTTTCAAGTGCAAACGCCCACAGCACGATCTAAAATTAAGCCTAAAATAACCACATGCTTTATATTGCGAAGCAATAAAGACAAAGGAGACATTTTAGTTTCGTGTGCACCACCACAGCTAGACCCACAACTCGATCACCTTACTTGACATTCTCCAGAGTGACCTTCTCTCGTCCAATCACATCAACGAGACGGCCAGGCGTAGCAACAAGAAGATCACAGCCGCGCGAAAGATCACGCAATTGATTGTTTACGGGTGCACCACCGTAGACCACACAGGGCTTCAAATCCGAACGGTAGGCAAACCGACGGGACTCGTCAAATATTTGGCAGGAGAGCTCCCGCGTAGGTGCAAGAATTAGACAGGTTGGACTAGCCACACCCATTTGCAGGGAATGGCTTCCCTTTATTTTCTAAAATGAAGCGGAAGTACATCCTGAGTTACACATTAGTTGTTGAAAACTCCCATTTATAGGAACCTTGACGGGTAGATTTCAGAGCAGGATTTCGGCATGAGAGACTTGTTTAGGTAATCTGAATACTTTAATTAAAATCACTGAGTCCGGAGTGTGAGAGGATGTCTAATTAGCATGAATCAACACAAGGTCAAGTCACACATTTTCGCAGGGTAATACTATCGTAACGAACTGTCAATCTCTTGTGCAGCAAACACAACCGAAGTGTCAATCGAGAATTCGGTGCAGTGTACCGAACAAGGCCAAGAGTTTAGAGATAATAAACAGTAACAAAGTTAGAAACCGTGATACTAGACATAAACTATGAGGAGCAACCTAGCATTTATGCGAAGGAAGTTAGTACCAGATTCAATAATAGTTGAAATTCCTAGATTTCCAAAAAAAAACAGAGCAACGAACTGAAATAATACTTTTTAGTCAGTAATTGAAACTATAATGAACCCTATTAATAAATCATCATCATGGCTTAACGGAGTTTGAACCTCAATTTCTAACGGGGTATGAACATAGGCAAGTTTTTGTAGATTAAGACAACTAGGTACCTACAAAATAAATGGCTACTCTACACAAAAGCTAACTGGTTCTAAGAGAAAAAAATTAAACACCGTAAAGGGGTCACGAGTTAGTGAGGAAGTTAACAAGATCATATTTACGCATTAAAAAATATAGGTTACAAGCGAGACCGAGACAACGAAAATGCAGATTAGATATTAATCAATACCGATGATAAAAAACAACCCAAAGCAGCTAACAATAGTATCTCATGTCAGACCAGACACCAAAATGTCATTTTAGTTACTATCACCATACCCAATACAGATGCCGCATTCAAGTGTTTAAAAATAAATTAGTCGCACTGTACAAATCCCTTAAACCGATAATGACCTCATTTTCACAATTAAAAAGCCAAATCCCACCCTTCCAAACATTGCATTAAACAAAACTTACGGAGTCATTTCCCTTTTCCCCTCCCTTTGAACTGCCCTCAAGCATCATATGAAGTAGAGGTATCAAAAACGCGGCTGTCTTTCCGGAACCCGTCTGAGCACAAGCCATAAGATCGCGCTTCGCTAACACAATTTGAAGGGCGTATTTCTGTACCGGTGTTGGGTGAACATACTGAGCACGCTCGATGTTTTCCGCAAGGACCTTATGCAATTGTACGTCATTAAACGACGTCAACGGGTCGACAGCAGTCCAGTCCGGTCCCGACTGTTTCACTGGGATACTATCATAGAGCTCTAAGTTAATAGCAGCTTTGGGTGCACTGTCACAGAAAAGCTCCTCTTCGGTTTTGAAAGAAAAATTCCAAGATCCTGAGGAATTGTTATTCGTGTGGCCGTTGTGACAGGTAGAACTGATATTATTCAGTCGGCAAGATCGGCGTTGATGCCCACGATTGCCAGTATGTAAGTGATCGAATCGACCGTTTTCAGGTGGAGCACCGAAAATACCGATTCCGTTGGAGGGTTTATTCGCTCCGCCTGCTGCGGCGGACATAAACCAAGGAGTAACATAGGAGTAGCTATTAAAGGGCTGCTGCTGAGGCGGAATATTCGGTTGAAACCGGGTAAATCGCGGTGGAGTTCCGCGTTTGACTTGATTTTGAAGGATGGTTAAATGCCTTGCTAACAAATTGATTGCCAACAGGAAAGTAGAATGACCAATCTCCGAATCCCTGAGGAGTTTCATTAATTTTCAGTTGTTGAAACTAAAAAATTTGCAAATTCCGCAAGTTTAGTAATAAGGGAGGTAATTTACTTATATCGGCAAATACACATTTCTTTATATGGCCTCAGAGATTAGCATCGTAATCAACCGAACTTTCAATTCTTTTCTAGACTAGAGTAAACACAATCATTACGAAGGGACCAGTAGATAATGCAAATCAAACAACGCGGATTTGCCTACTGGAAATCCGGTTCATTCAAGTGCACCATGTTTTATCAAAAAAGCACAATTACATGGGGCACATAATATCCGCAAAACACAACAATTTATAAAATGGTTAGAAAAACCAACTGACACTAGCATCCAGTTTTTCCATGATCAAAATAGGCAAACGTCCGTGATTGAGAAGATCTACGCTATAGCACATACAACTAACTGTGGGTCGTACCGACCGCCAAAATGGACACTGAGCATTAGCGAAATAGCTAAAAAAATTATCAGTTTAAAGTAATCCTAACCATATCAATCAAAAGCGTCATAAACACTGATTCACGAGTTTTGACCTAAAGCTGTAATAAGTTACAGAGAAAAAGGTACTCCTATATGCGCTTGTTAGCATTTTGTAGAAAACAGCTGTTTATTATTCTAGTACATGATTTTAAGTTGGAGTTAATCACTTACCTTAAGTAAGGTCATGTTGGGGATTTTTGGCTTATTCGGGTCAAGACGCTTAAAATTATACCTTAACTGTTAGTGCCATGAGTTCTTGAAACTGGGACATACCACACTACAACTTCTCCTTAGGTGCACATTCAACTACGCGGACACCCAACCACCGTTAGGTTGCGTTTCTGCTTTGCCGCAAAGTCAGTGGCCGTCAAATTTTTCTTCGCACTCGCAATGAGGCCTATAAGTATTCCAGAGAATACTCAAAACCTATATTGGTAGCGGTAGCAGGCAAACCCAACTCAAAAAATTGATTTTTATTTTTAATTTAAATGCTGGACTTTGATGTAACAGAAGGTTATCTGCTGTAGATAAGTATATGTTCGAAGACTCCTAAATTAACGATTGAAAACAACGTCTGCCTTTGGGAATTAACATAATCATTTTTAGGAATGCTTTTAAAATTCAAAATTCAACCAATTTTAAAACGTATGGAAAAGTCTTTTACGGATCTTTCTGCGATACCCATAGGAAGGTGTCCATTAAGAAAACAAGCAAAGCCTTCACCTTTCTGCTGGCATAATCGAACAAATAATAATATCCGTACATCTCTAATGAAATATAACTGACAAACAGGAACAAATGCAAAATATTAGCAGCGTGAAACGACCTTAGGTCAAGGGGGTCTGCCTTATGGGCAGTTATTTAGGAGTAGCGATGGTCATGCAGATACCCTCATTGTAGAGCATGACCTGGTCTTGAGCAGTATAAAGCCAATGAGTCTTCTTTTCCTTTAGTGTCACAAGTAAGACAATCTTTTGACAAAATGAGGTTGCGAAGTCTCATCCTTGAAGATGAGTCAATCGCACCTCCATAAGCAAGAAGAGGTATTGCTATTTCGAAGCTGTTGGGGGACTGACATGGAAAGCGTCAGGGACGATGGTCAGATTTAACGAAACGTTATTTATTGAATTAATTTCCCCCTTGTCTGCACGATGGAAAGCTTAGACACTTTCATCACCACGGATAACGCTTCTGCTAGGCAGCAAGGCCTTTTTACAAAACCTTGGCCCGTGACGACTGAAAGATCAGCTAGATTTGCATCATATTAAAGAAGATTTGTTTGAACGAACCTTTTTGAGAGGAAGCGCCCAGTGTATGCTAACTTCATGATTGGGTGAATATTGTTGGCTTCTCAGAAAAAAATGAACTTCGAACCGCTGCAACCGCGATTCAATGCATTCATTTATCAACATTATCAAACAGATGATTTTCTTATTGAACCAGTCTACTCGTTTCAGCGTGAAAGAGGAAATCACATAAGCTACTACAACACAGCAGCTAATATGTAAGGCGATGGTTGTTTACCCTTCGGCATTGGCGAGGAGCTACTTTTGAGTTGGCTATTGTACCACACCGAGTGGGCCGGCCTTCGGGCAATGTCAGTAGCCCAAATACCTTCTGTACGTCGAGTATGTATATTCTGTTAGAGTATTGTCTTCTTTCGTCTTCAAGGAAGTACTGGGGCGCTGTAAACGATCTCTGGTACTAAAAACAATTAAATTATCTACAAATTCTTAAATTGGAGGCAGACTATATGTAAAAGGTACGGGTCAGAACTGGCTAGGTATGCTATAAATTACGTCTTTATTGGATAATTGGAAGTAGGCATCGTATTGGTAATTTTTAGGGTGTGTTTATGTAAAGGTACCTTTTAGATGACAAGCGACCAGATTACACAAACCTCGAGACGCAGCAGATTTCACGTCTTCCATGGATAGGACACGAAAGGGCTGTTGTGCAATACTTAGGTTGTTTTAATGTACCTTTCAGGGAGGAGGTGAGCAGAAAAAATGGGGATTTCGTGGTCAGATTGTCCTCCCCCGCACCTAGTGACTACAGCTCCCCTCCTTCTTGAACATTGTATTCCCCCTCCCCATCTTGTCACCTTTAATAAAGATGTCCAAAGCGAATCAACCGGGCTTGTCTAAGAACGTTAGGTGCAGGGAAGCGGGGATTGATGGATTTCGCTTCACAGTAGAATCCGTTAGAGATGAAGTAGACAAACGGTTGCGGTTATAGGATCACTGCAGCGTCTCGAGACTCCCTGAAGACGAAAGAAGACAAAATACTCCAAGAAAAAAATATATATACTCAGCACGGAGAAGGCGTCTGGGCTATTGGCATGGCCCAAAAGGCCAGCCCACCCAGCGAGGTACAAGGGGGCTAATTGAAAGTACAAAAGTGGTGCCTCACCAGCGCCGAGGGATAAACCACTATCGTATTACATAGCCTTCCTCCTCTTTTGAGCGTCGTCTCCGGCGCTTCCACAGGTCAACCTCCCGCGTCAGCCATTACAACGTAGTCGGTGCAGTAAAGTAACACCCACGAGCCGACCGTGCCAGTCACCAAATTAGCGCGCAACTGAGGGGATACTTAACCTCAACCTCACTGATCCCTCTTGGCGGCTTGACTGGATCTGGGGTTTCGTCCGGTTTAGGGATTCGATTCAGAACGGGGAACTGCGCCGGCCATCATGCGTGTCCATAGATAGAGGCAGGAACACTGGCCTAAAAGCAGATTTGAATAAGGGAATACAAGATTTAAAACAGGTCCATGGGGGACGGTAGGGGAAATCCGTAACGAAACTTCCGGCTGGTTCACGGCCAGTGTCGCTTCAGTTGTTAATAGCTTTTCGGCAGAACACGGGACTGGGAGAGATGCCGAAGGTAGACGTCAACATCAACCTTTCTGTTAGGAGTCATCACCATTCTCCCATCCGCAGCATATGTACTTCTTCCGCCCCACTAAGACTTATCACGCAGAAGTGAAAAATCAGGATACATGTCCTCTAAGATCGGGTTCGTTTTCCGCTGCCACCAATGCAGCGTCTCGAGATTTTCTGAAGACGAAAGAAGACAAAGTACTCGGGCAGAATACATATTCAGCACGGAGAAGGTGTCTGGGCTATTGGCATGGCCCAAAAGGCCAGCCCACCCGGCGAAGTACAAGGGGGCTAGTTCAAAGTCCAAAAGTGGTGCCTCACCAGAACCAAGGGATAAACCATTATCGTATTACAAACGCAGTTACACAATTACTTCAAAAATTTTGCTATTTTTAGGTCATTTTAGCCTTTGAATGTCTTGCAAAGCCATTTATTTTATCATTCTATTTAGTTAATGGCTTCAATTGACAGCATTCAAAGACTTTTTTTAAAAACTTGGCTATCTTAGATTCAAAATGCGATTTCTTGAACACTGTTGCTTTGTTATATACTTTTTAATTCTTTTAAATTAATAGTATATGTTGTTTTAATGCTAACACATTTTTCACCCTCGGTGTAAAAATCATTAAATTTATCGAATTTATTTTTGACTTCTATGCGATATCGCAGTTATTATTAACGGAATGCAAGTCGCTTCTACCACTTGTTTATCTACACCAACATCACTAAGGTCGGTTTTCGTCGCTTGCCAGATTGGAATGGATCAAGTTTCGGCGGTTACGGACCCTCTTATTCAGTTTGCAAGGGCCTCGGTTCACTTTTTCCATCGCTGCACCAAGCCTGATCGGAAAGGTAGTTTCCATATCATCAACCCTTACGCCACTGTAGAATTCAAAAAGAACGCCATTGCCACTGCTGTTGGATTTCTAGCCATGGGCATCCTCGGGTTCATTATCAAGCTCGTGTTCGTGCCTCTCAATAGCATTATTGTCGGTGGTTAAGCAATGATTCACTAAAATTAGTTGCACTATACACCTTATTTACTTCTTCATCAGTGCGTGGCGATGGCGCCGCAAACGCTGGTATCGACCGCCCGGAACCTAAACCGTTAATAGGTGTCGATAAATGTATTTTGAAATCATGGTTACAGGTAAGTAGCATAGTGAGTTAATTCACAACACAGCGGCCCGCGCTCGGAATAAAAGTGCACGCAAGTTGGGTTAAGATATGGAGGGGTTTCTGTGATATCCGTCATAATTCAGGTGGCCTGATCCCGGATCCAAACTAAGTTGCGGTTTGACTGGAGAAAGGCTCTGTGGTGGGCTGTAACAGCCTTGAATCTGGTGGGACTTGGCTTTGCGACGCCACAGCGCGGCAAACGGACGAACGAAGGAGTAGTTTCTTGGTAGGGGTGGTTGTATTAGTAGGCCGGCGGCGTTCTCCTTCGATATTGCATTGGGCTCGTTTCTTGTGTCGGAGTGAGGGTACTGGAAGTCTGCAATAGACGCGGGTAGACGCATGCAGTAAGCATGGTGTGAAAAGGTACGAGGCTGTGGTTGCTGACTTACTGTCGGTGGAGGGTGTATCGAAGCGGGGTTTGGATGGCAGATCCTGAAACATACTTCTGTTTTGCCAATCCAAAGTGGCCTTGTTGCATTCCTCATCGCTAGGACGAGTGCACGAGCTTGGTTGGTCATCCACGAAATCCTCACCAGTAAAGAACGAAAAGTCGGTAGAAAGATCGAAGAGACGAATGCTATTGTTATTGCCTTCACCGCCGGGATGGCACCTGGGTTTATCGTAGCCTAGAGCGGTTAGCAAGGCATTAAGGTCTGCGGGCTGCTGCAAAATCAGGCCTGTTAGATCCTCAATTCGACTCCAGCGATGCTTCCGCTCTTGCATGTCTGCCGTGACGTTTTCGAGAACTCGTCTAAAAGAGTCGGAATGAGCTAGCGTACCTAATGCTAACATCTTGGTCATTGACCAACAGTGAAATCGTGTAATTTGGCTGAATTATATTTTACTAGGCTTGAATTGTATAAGGTTGTTAGTAAACAGTGACTAGGCATACCGAGCAGCGTTTAATTTCGAATCGACATCGTCCAAATTATCCGAATGTATAAGCCGGACCGAGCCCACAAGCGAGGAGCGTTTCCTTCGCACGCGATCACACTACAGCAATAAGACATTAAATGGTGTTTAGGAAGTGCTCATCAGCAAGCAACGTTTGCAGCGTTAAAATGGACAAAAATCATGTACGGAACGTTTAATACGAAACGTACAGCCTCTTTGGCAGCCATAAGCTGTTTGGCAGCAGCAGAACGCTTCTCCCAGTAATGCCTCAATTCTAATTCATGAGTCATTTGAAGAAGAAGGGCTAGTTCTGTTATGGGTGCCTCGATGGGACGCTTAGCGGCAAGAGCAGCGGCGGCGGCTACCGACGCAGCCGAAAGTCGCTCCGACCCACCGATATAGAATGAAGCATGTGCGGGTAGCATTGGTGAGGCTGACCACTGCCCACTACAGATCTGAGATTCGGCCACAGTCCTTCGAGGGAAGAAGGACGATTCACTGGGCTTGCGGGTCGGTGGCTCCGTTCTGCTATGCTTAGCCGAGAGAATAGACTGGAGAGTAGATCATTCCCAGGGTTAGGAGAAAAGTGAAGACTCGAGAAGAGCAAATTTGAAATTCGCTTACCATATGCTCCGAACTACGGCCCGAGTCAGAGTGGTGGAAGAGGGTTTCATCGTCGATTTGAACTGAACGACCCGTAGCCATCCTGCTGTTAGTACACACTGAAGATTCAGCTTCCTTCAAGCCCAGTAATCTGTTAGAAGAAAACTTCGGTAAAAGATTAAAAGAGTCGATTTCTCCTAATATCAAACGAAACTAAGGGAAGGGGGAGGGTAAAGAGGAAGTGAATAAGAGACTCACTCCTGCTGCAGCTCTTGAAGAGTTTGTTCAGCCCGAGAGAGCCTATCATAGTTGCCAAAAGTGGCGCTACGCAGACGCTGGGTATAGTGGCGATTGAGTCCTATGAGAGTGATAATAAATGCAATTGCGACAACCAGTGTCGAGAAGAGGGGCATATCCTTGCTGAGGTGGACAAGGAGACTACTAGCTGCGGCCACGGTGGAGAGGTTTTCTAGCATTGAAGGATGGCAAAACGATGAATTAGATGGTGAGATAAAGGAGGAGGATGAGAGTACAGCGCTCGCCGGGAGTGGCAGGCATAAAGTGAACGAGTTTTGCGGTAGCACACTCACCCACACGGACTTTGAACGGTTAGGAATAGTGAATAGTGTACGCATTTAGGCAAGCACGCGCGAGCGATATGGAGAGGGAGGCCTGGAGGCGCTTCAATTGTAATGTGATCAATGTGGTAGATGAGAAAATACCACGATTATGGCCGTGTATGAGTGTGGGTGGGGAGAGGGAGGGAGAGAGGATGGTAGTGGAAAAATATTCGCAATTGACCCCAATTAGCATAATAGATGATCCGTTTAAAAAAACTCATGGCATGTTTGAGTAGCTTGGATGAGGCTTCGTGGCAGCAATAAAAGTGATTAAAAAATAAAAACATTCGCCATAAAGAATGCCACTTAAAAGGGACGAAAAAGGAAATTATTTTTCTTTTGTTGAAGCTCAGTTACATTTCTAAATGGACGAATAAGAATTTAACGTCTATAAGTCGCAGAACAGACACCAAAAAATGTATTCTCTGATGAAATTACAAAATATAGTGAAATGCAGGCTTACTTTTGGGGGGACCGAAAAGAATTAGATCCATGGCTTTAAGGGACAGTTTCCGACGATGAAGGGAGTTCTTAATCCCGAGTTCATCAGTGAGAAACTTCATGTTGCGAGAAACAAGACTACAAGTGGAAGTACGCGCACATGATAACAGCCCAAAATTACTCAAAGCTAATTTTGTACTAATCAATGCAAAATAGAGTGACATTTAACGCTAAAAAAGAAATTGAAAAAAATAATACTCTGCAAAAAATATGACCTTCAATAATATAAATGAAGCAGGAAAGCGTTAAGCCATAATTTGCAAATGTTCTGCCCTCCGATGAGATTTAAAAATATGCGGGATTAAAGGAAAAATATACCCAGCATTATGGTAAAATCAGATAACAAAAAAATCAAATGACCTTGTTTCGGTGATATTTTCAAGCAATTAGCCTTCTTTCAGAAGAAAATTAAACGAAACAGATAACAGTTGCAATGATATTGATACTCTTGTATAGTACATTTTAATACATACACAAACCGTGAGGGTGAAGATGGCATAAATAAGAATTAGCTTTTTAAAATCTCAGCTGTCATTTAAGAAGCATTTAATCGCCTTTCGGTGAGACATATCAGAGAATTATTAAACTTGTTTGTTAGTGCAATGCAAGCAAAACCTAAAGGATCGCTTATCCATGGCATTAAAAAATCACTACAAAAAAGAATAATGGGGGATGAGAGCAATGAAAACACACTGGGGATTAAAAGTATTCGATCGCAACGCCACTTTCATGAGATTTACCTCAAATATACAATATTTATTAATATAACACATGGTTTTTTGAATTAAAAAGAAACTAATTCATTTTTTCTGCTTAATTATGAAGTTCAAAAACGGAACAAGAAAAGTCATACCCAAGTAACTCATTAAAGGTGAATTCAAACAACCCATTAGAAAAGAACTTGAATAAAAAGTTAGAAAACAGACCTTCAATTTGGATGAAGAAGAGGCTAGCTACATAAAATGCCCAGAGAATGAGAAAGCACTCAAGTGAAATGCCATGACAGAAAACAAGGTTATTACGAATAGGGTAATGAAAAATGAAGGAATGGAGGGACAAACAAATGGTTAACGGCCTGACATTGCATGCTTCACGAGAGAGTTTATAAAAGAAAAAGAAGCACGCCCACTGTAAAAGTGGAACCCAGAGAGAACAAGACGTATAAAAATGTGTAAAATGAGCTAGATGTTAGACTTATGGGTGATAAACTTACCGAGGTATGGATTCACCATCTACCTTGTACTGCAGGAAAAGGTCGCCGTATTCGGGGAGTTCTACATGCTCTGACAACCATCGTACAGTCTCCGTAACAGTCCAATTATGCGCTAGCACAAATATATAACAT